CTCTGAGCTGGGTGGTTTCCTTGCAGACATTTCATGACCCAACTAGATAACATCATCAGTGCTAGAAGGGAGCATGGGGTTTGTTCTCTTCTGCCTTGATGATGTTCCCTAGTTGGCTCATGAAATGTCTGCAAGGAAACAACCAAGCTGAGAAAGCACCAAGGACCCCCACAATCATCCTCCTCCTCTCCATAAACCTCACCCACTTCTAGCATTGATGAAGTTACCTAGTTGGGTCATGAAACGTCTGCAAGAAAACAACCAAGCTCAGAGAGCACCAGGGACCCCACAGTCCTTTTTCTCCTTCTCCTTCTCCTTCTCCTCCTCCTCCTCTCCATAAACCTCACCCCCTTCTAGCAATGATGAAGTTACCTAGTTGGGTCATGAAACGTCTGCAAGGAAACAACCAAGCCTGAGCTACCAAATATTTTCTTTATCAATAATTCAGCAGAGTAACATTTCACCAATGTTCTGCTGGTAGGGCTGGATCTACGTAATCACCTAGCCCAGGGGTAGGCAACCTCGGCTCTTTTCTGACTCGTGGACTTCAACTCCCAGAATTCCTCAGCCAGCATGGCTCAGCTTGGAAACCTCTCCCTTTCCCCTCAGCGTGGCTGGCTCAGGAATTCTGGGAGTTGAAGTCCACGAGTCATAAAAGAGCCAAGGTTGCCTACCCCTGGCCTAGGCCAACGTGATGACCTCCAAGTAGGTTAGGACCAACACTCCCAGAGTTTCTCATTAGCACAGCAGAGAGAATTCTGGGAATTGCGGTCCCAAGGAATCTGAACGATCTCAAGTTAAGGAAGGCCATTTTGTTGTGGCTGATCAAGAAGTCATCATCGTGGCCAGGATCCATGTGCCATCTAGGGCTGAGGGACCCATCTCTGGATCTTCCAGTCTCTTTCCTATGACTGCCAGCTTATCTACTGCGTGTTCCTCTCCTGGCTGGGGCTGATATTGGCTGGGACTGAAGCTAGTTCCTCTCCTGGCTGGGACTAAAGTAAATCCTCGACTTACAACAGTTTATTTAGTGACTGTTCAAAGTTACAACAGCACCGAAGAAAGTGACCGATGACCATTTTTCAGAGTTACGACTGTTTCGGCATCCCCACGGTCACGCGATCAAAATTCAGACGCTTGGCAACTGACTCAATATTTGTGACAACTGCAGGGCCCCTGGGGTCACGCGATCCCCTTTTGCGACTTTCTGGCAGTGGGGGGAAAGCCAGATTCACGTAGCAACTGTGTTACTCATTTAATGACTGCACCGATCCACTTAACAACTTGTTGGCAAGGAAGGCCGTAAAATGGGACAAACAAGTTCACTTAACAAATGTCTCACTCAGCAACGGAAACGTTGGGCTCAGTTACGGTCGTTAAGTCGAGGAACACCTACATAGACCTTTGGGTTTCATCGCTCAAGGAAACACTCACTTTTTCCACCGAAATCATCTTCCCGTGCAGTTCTGTCCTATGGAGGTGGCTGATGCATTTGGTGGCTTCCTCAGACGATGACATGGTGACGAAGCCGTAACAGCGGGCCCCGGGGCTGCGGGCGTTCGTGACTACTTTAGCACCTACCACCTTCAGAGAGGGAGAGAGGAAGGGAGAGAGAAAGAGAGAAAGAGGGAGAGGGAGGAAGGGAGAGAGAGAGAGAGAGAGAGAGATGACAAACGCTGATTGGGTTTACACATCACACCTACTAGATGTTGTTTATTAGTTTGTTACCTTCTGGGAGATGTAACATGTAAACGAAGACTCAATCATCTAGGCCAAAAGTATGTAAAACGGTGATTTAATCTTTTTAAGATATCTCCTGGGAGAAGGCTTCACGACATCTGAAGCAGAACTAGATTCTGTAATAGCTTTATACCATATAGTATCAACTGTTAACTCTCAAGACTCTTTTATCCACTATGTATTCTAAATGGTCTGCGATTAATATATAAATGTATATATACACCGTATTGTGTGTATGATATATACACACACATATATGTAATATGTATATGTATGTATGGGTATAGATATATCTATATATCTATATCCACACCCACATCCACCCATCTATCTAGCTATGTCTAAGTGCTATTGCTATCTTATCCTATCTATCTATCTATTTATCTATCTATCCATCCATCCATCCATCCATCCATCCATCCACCTACCAATCTCAATCTGTCTATATAATAATCATCTATCCATCTATCTATCTATCTATCTATCTATCTATCTATCTATCTATCCATCCATCCATCCATCCATCCATCCATCCATCCATCCATCCATCCATCCATCCATCCATCCACCTACCAATCTCAATCTGTCTATATAACAATCATCTATCTATCTATCTATCTATCTATCTATCTATCTATCTATCTATCTATCTATCTATCTATCTATCTATCTATCTATCTATCTATCTATCTATCCATCCATCCATCTATCCACCNACAAGTTAAAAGAAAATGGCTGCATCTCCATAAGTTCTCAAAGCAAGAACATTCGACGTTAGCAGCGTTGACAGTCACTACTTTAATCAAAGCATTTATCTGGCAATATTGCAGACTTGAGCGGACAAAAAAACTTTTAGCCGTACCACTTTTTATTTCTATTCGCCCTACCTTGCCGTATTTGCTAAACAGGTTCTTCAGATCAGTTGCTCTGGTCGAAGAGGAAAGGCCACTGACCCACAGATTTCTGCCAGAGCTAGCAGAGGAGCGACCTATATTGGAGGGGGGGGGGAAAGGAGGGGAAAGGAGAAGACGTCAATTGCTGCAACACACTCCAGGTTGAAAAATCCCCCCAAATGTAGCAGATTGCCTTGGTGGAGCCCTTGATGCTCTCCGAGCTTGGTTGTTTTCTTGGAGACGTTTCATTACCCAACTCTAGAACGAGTGCAGAGAAGAGCAACAAAGATGATTAGGGGACTGGAGGCTAAAACATACAAGGAACGGTTGCTGGAATTGGGTATGTCTAGTTTAATGAAGAGAAGGACGAGGGGGGACATGATAGCAGTGTTCCAATATCTCAGGGGCTGCCACAAAGAAGAGGCAGTCAAGCTATTCTCCAAAGCACCAGAGGGAAGGACAAGAAGCAACGGATGGAAACTAAATCAAGGAGAGAAGCAACCTAGAACTAAGGAGAAACTTCCTGACAGTTAGAACAATTAACCAGTGGAACATCCTGCCTCCAGAAGCGGTGAATGCTCCAACACTGGAAGTTTTTAAGAACAGCCATTTGTCCGAAATGGTATAGGGTTACCTGCCAGGGATGACCTCCAAGGTCCCTTCCAACTTTATTATTATTATTATTATTATTATTATTATTATTATTATTATTATTATTATTATTATTATTATTAACTAGGTAACAACATCAGGGCAAGAAGGGAGAAGGGTTTGCTCTTGGTTTATATACTAGTGGTTTGCTCGTCAGTATTGCTGGGAATGTTCTTGGTGGCTGCTCAATTCGGCTGCTGTTTACTGTTTCATTCTTTGTCTGAGCTAGTAGGTTTGAAGACCACTCCTACCAACACTGGCAGGGCAAAGCCACTGTATTTAAATAGAGAGCGAACCCCTCGTTAACACGGATGACATTGCCTAGTTGGGCAATAAAATGGTCCACAAGAAAACAACACAACTCAAGAGAGCACCACATATCGCCTCTCACAGATCTAAAGCTCACGAAGATGATTTGCAACCCCTTGCAGCACCTTAATGCATTTCGATCTCAAAAGAAAGAAAAAAGTTCTTGGATACTGGAACAGTGGACCAAGCCAAGATGGCTGACTAACTTACAGACGCTCCGCACTCGGTGTCCAATTATTGAATTAACCTATTTGCTGAATTCACCACGTTTTGACAAACTAACAGACCAGTTTGCATTTCATGCTCAACCAGAATAATAATAATAATAATAATAATAATAATAATAATAATAATAATAATAATAATAATAATAATAATAATAATAATAATAATAATAATAATAATAATAATAATAAATAATAATAATAAAAAAGTTGGAAGGGACCTTGGAGGTCATCTAGTCCAACCCCCCGCTCAGGCAGGAAACCCTGTACCATTTCGGACAAATGGCTGCCCAGTCTCTTCTTAAAAACTTCCAGTGTTGTAGCATTCACCGCTTCTGGAGGCAGGTTGTTCCACGGGTTAATTGTTCTCACTGTCAGGAAGTTTCTTCTTAGTTCTAGGTTACTTCTCTCCTTGGTTAGATTCCATCCATTGCTTCTTGTCCTGCCTTCAGGCGCCTTGGAAAATAGCTTGACTCCCTCTTCTTTGTGGCAGCCCCTGAGATATTGGAAGACTGCTATCATGTCCCCCCTCGTCCTTCTCTTCATTAAACTAGACATACCCAGTTCCAGCAACCGTTCCTTGTATGTTTTAGCCTCCAGTTCCCTGATCATCTTTGTTGCTCTTCTCTGCACTCTTTCTAGAGTCTCAACATCTTTTTTACATCATGGTGACCAAAACTGGATGCAGTATTCCAAGTGTGGCCTTACCAAGGCCTTGTAAAGTGGTATTAACACTTCACGTGATCTTGATTCTCTCCCTCTGTTCATGCAGCCTAGCACTGTGTTGGCCTTTTTGGTAGCTGCAGCACACGGCTGGCTCATAGTTAAGGGATTGTCTCGCTTACCAGGAAATCAGAGGGCGAGGGAGGACTGAAAATAGAATTGGAAGCAGGAGAAACAAGTTTTGTTTTCTCCTTCTCCTGCTTTTTGATTAATGTGGTTCATAAGAGAATATATAAAAAAGCACTGGGACTTCATTTCACCGCCTCCAGAATTTGGCATTGCTCAGAGGAGGGCCCTTTCCAGAACTGTGCAGACAAACAGTTCAAATCAATAAGCAATTTCTGCACAATTTGTAGCCTGTTCACAGGGATTTTTAATTTCCCATCGTTTCATAAATTTCAACGACAAAGCTTTCGTTTTAAATTATGCTGCTAGAACCAAGAAAGATAGGGGAAGGTGAGACTGGAGTAGATTTCTAATGAATCATGCACTTCTAAAACTCAAAAACAAGCTTGCTAGATCATTAGGTCCTAACTTCAAAAGTTATGCTTTATTTTGCACCAAACTCTTAAGTTGCATATCTTGCACAGGTAGTCCTTGACTCCCAACGGTTCGTTTAGTGTCCGTTCAAAGTTACAACGGCAATGAAAAATGTGACTTTCGACCATTTTGCAGTTACAACCTTTACAGCAAGGGTAGTCAACCTTGGCTCTTTTATGACTCGTGGACTTCAACTCCCAGAATTCCTGAGCCAGCTAAGCTGGCTCAGGAATTCTGGGAATTGAAGTCCACGAGTCATAAAAGAGCCAAGGTTGACTACCCCTGCTTTACAGAATCCCCACGATCACGTGATCAGAATTCAGATGCTTGGCAACTGGTTCATATTTATGCTGGCTGAGGAATTCTGGGAGTTGAAGTCCACAGGTCTTAAAGTTGCCAAGGTTGGGGACCCCTGCTATATGACATCCTATTCTATATACAGAATCCATTCCTTACCAATAAGAAACAGAAAATACCACTCAACAGAAAATGAATGGGAATCCCACCCTTGTAAACCAGAGGTTTACAAGCTTGGCAACTTTAAGCCTTGTGGACTTCAACTCCCAGAATTCTCCAGCTAGTATGGATGGCTGAGGAATTCTGGGAGTTGAAGCCCACAAGGCTTAAAGTTACGTTTGGAGACCCCTGATGCAAACTGTTATAGGCCACAGAATGAGCCAATTATGTCCCAACTCTGGCGATATTCCTGAATTACCAGCTCCATCAGCAGAGACCATAAGTCAAGGATGATGGGTGCTGCAATCCAACGTCTCCAGGGCCGTCACTTCATTAGGGATCAGCAACAGGGGGGCTTTATAAACCAACCAAATGCACGCAAGCAGCGTTAGGGAAACGACTGTGCACAAAGATGCGGCAGCTTGCCTTGCTGAGAAAAAAAAATAACTTCGCTGTTTCTAGTTAAGTTCGTCCAGATTCACAGGAAAATTAAAACGGCACAGCCAGCATTAAGTATGTACAAGTTAGTCCTCGGCTTGCAACCATCGATGGGACCAAAATTTTCCGTTGCTAAGTAAGACAGCTGTTAAGTGATTCACGCCCCCTTTTCACAAGCTTTTCGCCAAGGTTGTTAAGCAAAGCACTGCAGCCCGTTAAGCGAATCGTGCAGTCCTGAAGCTGCATTGACGTTGCTTGTCCGATGCTGTAACCGTCGTAAATACAGGGGAGTTGCCAGGCGCCTGGATTTTGATCACGTGACTGTGGTGATGCTGTCACGGTTGCAAGCAAGAGGACCGGCTATCAGTCCCTTTTTTAGGGGCCTTTTTAGAGAGATTCTCAGTCATCCAGGACACGGTTGTTTCAAAGTCTCAAATGGACCATGTTTTTTCCCTTGGGGACAAAGACGTTTCGCTTCTCGTCTAAGAAGCTTCATCAGTTCATTTTTAGGGGCCTTTTAACTTCAAATGGCCACTAAACGCACGGTTGAAAGCCGAGGACTACCAGTTGCTTACAGATATATATTTATATACATGGCTACAAGCCTACCCTTCTCGTCTTTCGAAGCACTTTTAGCCTCCGCCTCCTCATTTGAGCTAAAAACGAGGAAGAAAAAAGGGAAGGACGTTATTCAACCAGCAAAAAAGGCACTTGGAAAATGAACAGGCAGGACAGTGGGTGCTATGATCAAATACCTACCAGAGAAACCAATATATACATATACATATATATTGACCTTTACTGGGAGGGGGGCTTTTTAAAAAAAAGAACCCAAAGGTAACTCTCCGTAGACCACCAGAGAGCTAACTGCTTATCAGGAATACAAGATTAAGAATGCAGCCCTTGGAAGATGGAGATTATCGTGTGTTTTTTTTTAAACGCTTAAGGGAAAAAAAACAAAAACAACAACCAGCCAAACGGTCTCCTATGGAAACAAACTGTGGTAAGGACAACTGAAAAAAATTAAATTAAAATAAAAAATAATAAAAAGCAGAGAACTCTACGTCGAAGGATAAGCTACCGTCTCGTTGGGGCCCTCGGCAACGGGATCGCTGGAGGCATCACAGCACTTTTTTTTTTTTTTTTTGGCATTCATATAAACAACCAACGGGCAAGAAAAAAAGACAGCATCTGGTCTAAAACGGAGAGAAACAAACCTCGTGTTCTGATCACCACCCTCTTGGGCAGAGGGCTCTCTAGTGGCAGAGGGCTCCTCCTCAACATTAGCCTTCACTTCCATCTTCTCGGCCTCTGGACTAACCACTTGGGGACCTGTGTCCGATTCCGCGGTTGCCTCACTACTGGCTTCCAGAGTTTGAGCTTCTCTGCTACTATCATCATCATCACCATCACCTCCTCCACCTCCACCTCCACTCCTGCTCTCTACCGCTAAAGAGTCCGAGTCCGGTTTGGCTTCCTCAACTGTCTGCTCGCTGGGCTCCCCTTTCGCTACCACTAAGAGCTTGGCTTCGTCCTCTTGGCTCTTGGCCGCCGCTGGGCCTGACTGGCTGTCCGTATCTACAAGGTCTTTGTCCGACTGGATGGAAGAGGCGGCGGCCAGCATGTCTTCTCCTCCTCCTTCTGCTTCTTCTTCTTTTTCTTCTTCTTCCTCCTCCTCCTCCTCGGCTTCCTGTTTGCCCGGCCATGAATTATTCGTTTCCTGCGCCCGCTCCGCTTCGGAAGTCTCTTCTTTAAGGGGCTCAGATTTACAAGTGTCACCCAAAATGCCGAGCACTTTCTCATTTTCTATGGATTTAACAGGAATAGAATGGCACAAGGTTTAATCACCAGGGAAACATAGCAAAGACAAATGCCGGACGGGCATGGCTGCCCGACTAACACCGGGAGAGAGTAGGGCTTAAGGCTACACAGAGATTGGAAAACCCTCTGGGCCAACCACACTCCTCAACACGCCTAAAACCAACTGCAGTCTAACACGGCTATCAGAGCAGGGCCTGAAAAGAGAGAAGGAAGGAATAACCTTTAGGCACGACGCTTTGCCCCAGCGGGTCGCTTGGCTGGCTGTCTTCGCACAACGGTGGACGGCGCCTTTCCAATTCTTGCCCAGACTCGCTTCCATGCGCGGGGGAGGCTTATACCGACGGGGGGGCTCAATGCTTTTCGACTGTTTCGGCTTGCGGGTTTTACCGATTGTTCTTTGAAGGAGGCTGAGTCCGCAGGTGAACACCAGAGGAGCGTTCGGAAGCGATTCAGATACGTTTGCGGAGTCCAGAAAGCAAAGCGAGAGGCCTCCCGTCGTTCACCTTCCGTCTTCAAGTCTTCACATAGCCGCTTAAAAGAGTCGGTCCCTGCTTTGACAATTTCAACTGCATCTCTCTCTCTCTCTAGCTAACGTTACAGTCCCAAAGCCCTGAGCGATATCACAGGATCTGCTTGGCACGTCTAACTGTTCCTTTAGGCTGGGGGGGAGGGGGAGGGGGTTGGGGGGTGCGCGGTCTGCCCCCCACCCCAGTGAAGGGGATCTTAAAAGCGCAAATTATTCTCTCAGAAGTCTGATCACTGTGCGATAAGACATGGAAGGTGCTCCTGCAGATCTGGTGATATGGCCAGATTTCCAATCTCTGTGGCTTTTCCTCTGGAGGTGTGCTGGACCGTGCACCGGGTTAGAATAATGCACTAAAGCTACTTATGGGATAAAAACCGGAAAGAGAGTAACTAAAGGGACTGGAGTGCGAGACCTAATGGGAAATTCACAGGAGGGGCAGAGGGTTTTTGGAAATACAGTACCTGGTTCCAAAGGAAACTCGACAAGCTCCTGTGAAGAAACAAAACAAAACAAAAGAGTGGTAAAGAGATGTGAAAAAGATGTTGAGACTCTAGAAAGAGTACAGAGAAGAGCAACAAAGATGATCAGGGGACGGTTGCTGGAATTGGGTATGTCTAGTTTAATGAAGAGAAGGACGGGGGGGGGGACATGATAGCAGTGTTCCAGTATCTCAGGGGCTGCCCCAAAGAAAAGGGAGTCAAGCTATTCTCCAAAGCGCCTGAAGGCAGGACAAGAAGCAAGGAATGGAAACTAACCAAGGAGAGAAGCAACCTAGAACTAAGGAGAAACTTCCTGACAGTGAGAACAATTAACCAGTGGAACAACCTGCCTCCAGAAGTGGTGAATGCTCCAACACTGGAAGTTTTTTCAGAAGAGACTGGACAGCCATTTGTCTGAAATGGTATAGGGTTTCCTGCCTGAGCAGGGGGTTGGACTAGATGACCTCCAAGGTCCCTTCCAACTTTATCATCATCATCATCATCATCATCATCATCATCATCATCATCATTTAGGTTCGTCTGGCACAGGTGGTTATTCAATTATTTATATTTTTGTAGCTTAACCTCCCAGTCTCCTGTTGCCGGGTCCTCGTTGCTCTTTGTGCTGGGTGGTTTTCTTGCAGACATTTCGTTACCAAACTAGGTAACATCATCAGTGCTGGAAGGGAGATGACCCACTCTCTTCCAGCACTGATGATGTTACCTAGGTGGGAAATGAAACGCCTGCAAGAAAACCACGAAGTAGCTATCTGCTACAGTTTCGAAACTATGATCTAAATAGCTTATATATTAATTTTTTTTGGGGGGGGGGCACTTGGAAATGTTTCTGTCAAGGAAGCTATGAAGTTGTTAAGAGATTTCTGGATGCAGATATCCAAATACGGTTGAAATATGTAGTCCCAAATTTTATTTAGGCAAAAGATTTCAACATTTCTTCAGTACCCACTTGCAACAGAACTCCAGTTCTGATGTAGAAGTAAAAAAAATCTAAACTTTTCTTGAAGGAAAAAAACAAAAACCAAACTCATCACATTGGTGCAAAGCCCCAAATATTTCTATAGCCACATTCATGCCAGGAATGGAAGGGAAAGCATCTAAATCTGATGAAAGCTTGCACAAACCACGGTGTGAACATAACCTGGCTTGGATCATAACTCTTTCTTGTTCTAACCAAAGAAGAATAGGTTTTTTTTACAACTGTACAGGATTTTTTTTCCCCCCTGCGGGAAGAACAGGAAACTGAAAAACCGTGTCGATCACCTTTGCTTATATGATTAACTTTTTAATCAAAGTTGAAATACCTTCATGTTTGCAAAATCATCTGATGATAGATCTACGGTGTTGCTGGCTTCTTCATTCTCTCCCTAAAAGAAACAAACGAAGAAAAAACATTTCTTCACATTTCCCAAAAAGCTACCGTTTTTTCACTAAAGTCAGGGCAGAAAATCGGTCGCTCTCTCCTTGATCCATTATCCCCCAAACGTGGTCGGTAGCCACACAAATGTACTCGCTTTCTCAAATAATAAAATATAAATAATAAATGGAGCGGAGGAAATAAAAGGTGATGGGACAAAATGAGAGCCGTCTTTCGGTGGGGATGCTTCGGTGGCCGATGCTGTTGTTTTCCTTTTGAATTCCTACGTCTTTCGACACCAGGTTTCAAACTGTCTGGGAATCCCAGCTCCCAAATATCCTAGGTATAGGGGGTAGGCAACCTTGGCTCTTTTATGACTCGTGGACTTCAACTCCCAGAATTCCTGAGCCAGCATGGCTCAGCTTGGAAACCTCTCCCTTTCCCCTCAGCATGGCTGGCTCAGGAATTCTGGGAGTTGAAGTCCACGAGTCACAAAAGAGCCAAGGTTGCCTACCCCTGGCCTAGGCCATGCCAAACATGATTGTTGGATCTTACAGACCCTTAAGTGAATGTGAGGTTGGGAACTTGCTCGCTATGGTTTTTATACAGCTTGAATTCTATTTTGTGCAAGCCGAAAGCCACAATGCAACACACCAAACACCCAAAGCATGCCAAACTCAAAGGCTGAGCTTTCAAGCACATCGGAACCAAGCA